CATTCTAACTGTCTCTATCTATCTATCTATCTATCTATCTATCTATCTATCTATCTATCTATCTATCTATCTATCTATCTATCTATCTATCTATCTATCTGTCTGTCTGTCTGTTGGAATATATTTCATTCCAACATAAGAAAACATTTCTGGAGTCTGCATCTGAAGTGATATTTAGATGTATTTACACAGTTTATGTATCTCAGGGGATATGGATGCATTTAACCTGCAGTTACAGATGCATAAATAATGTTTTGTTTTTAACATGTTGAATAGGCTACTGATATTTGAAATGATTTAAAACATGAAAAATAGTTGAAATGTGAAATTAAAACCGCCAGTAGGTGACAGCAAGTTACTGTTAATGAGTGAGTCATTGAGATTCAACCGATTCATTCAAACAACTGATTCATTCAGAAACAAAGCATTTGACTGTGTTGATGAGTGAATCACTGAATCATTTATTCAACCGATTCGTTCAAAATGCTGATTCATTCAATAAGTAAACACCGTTCATTGCTCAGAGACGCAAAACAGTGCTGTGATCTTTGTTTGGAATTATATTAGTTTGCAAAATTGAGCAAAAACAAGCAATATTATGTCTAAAATGTAAGTCACTGAACTTGTATAAAATGATTATTAAATGCGTTCATGTTGATATCTGCAGAAAAATGGTACTCTTTGTGATATAGATTAAGTTAACTATATTAAATTATATAAATATAAAAAGCATACAGAAGCATTTTTGCCATCTACAATTTAGAATGCCTGGAATTGAGTTTTAAGTAAGGCATAATGTGCATCCAACCGGTTGTTATCTCAGAATAAACCCCGCGAAGCGTCGGGGTCTTGTATCAGCCTGAAGGGGTTTATTCTGAGATAACAACCGGGCCGGTTGTTATCTCAGAATAAACCCCGCGAAGCGTGATTTGTTTTTACCATATATGTTGAAATTAATGCTGAAGTCTTCCATTGTAACACGCGGTGGTTAAGTGTTTTCAGTCACAAGATGGCGCCAGACAGTCAACGATAGCGGAGTGACTCGTTAAGCATATAAGTAGTACCGGTCAAGATAACTCGTAGTACCCGGATGAGCGATGAGTTATTCAATTTGGCGGTTGTTATCTGGGAATAACATACCGCTGGATGGCGCGATTGACCAATCAGAATCAAGTATTCCACAGTGCCATGTAATAATAGACTAATAAATCACGTGCATGCACCCTGTCTCTGTTTGTGTGATTTGGTGATCGATAATGTCAGATCGCACATCATTACAACACTTACCATATTATCGCAGAAGATATACTGTATATCGCACACCCCAGACTCGACTTGAGTGGAAAATGAAATCATCCGCGGTTGTGTGAGCACTTGTTTGCACATGAGCAAAGGTGTTTTTAAGCGCCAGCCAGACACCTGATTCGTCAAACCTGCTTTCCTGCAGTCCGTGTTCTTCTGACTTCTGACTATTTTGTAGTAAGTAACGAATATGCTTCGGGGGAAATGTAGTGGAGTATAAGTAAAAGTTGGCTGAAATATAAAAACTCAAGTAAAGTACAGATAATCCCAAAAAATACTTAAGTACTGTAATGAAGTATTATTACTTTGTTACATTACACCACTGATGATAGATAGATAGATAGATAGATAGATAGATAGATAGATAGATAGTGAAAATAAAAAAGTAGCTTATTATTTAACAATATTCTTTCTTTGTCTCTAGGTTTGATATCAACTAGATTGTGCCACTGTCGGTGAGCTGTTACTGAATCTTTTGACTCAAATCTTGAGAACTCAGTCTAGGTTTGACACACTGACAGTTAATGCAGCTCCAGCTGAAACACCATCAGTGACCACTGGATAACATCTGGATTGACTGCAACACAAATAAACAGCAGTGAATGGAGACCACAGGAGAGGAGTAAGACTAACATAACAAGCAGAATGACAAAAGCAAACGCGAGGCTGTTGAATAAATCAGGTGAATCTCGGAGCTTTGATCAGGGCCAAGACTCTTGTGATAAATGGATGTTTCTATCAAAATGACATTCAAAAAATGTCAGAATTGTGAGATAAAATTAAATAAAATTAATAAAATTTTATTTTATTTGTTTATTTTATTAATTTATTATTATTATTATTATTATTTTACAATTCAGTGGCTTAATATTCTTATACATAGAATTTTTTTTTAATCTAAAATTGATCAAACAAGGATGACTTTTTTCCTATAACAGTTAAACTATAGAGCTTGACAAAACACAAGAATATGATTTAGTTTCATAAAGAACAAACTTGTTTTTAAATGGTGAATTGTCTCAGCATGACAGGATTGAACAAAGTTCTGCATGATCTAAAAATATATAAAATATTTTTGAAAAAAAAATGTGAAAGCACAACATTTAAATTTGTTTCATATACAGGTGCATCTCAATAAATTAGAATGTCGTGGAAAAGCCCATTAAAATATAATGGTAAGTACATACACATTTACTATATTTGGATAAATAAATAAGATAAGAAAAATAGATTGTTTTTGGAGAAATAAAATATATTTTATGTTGTTAATTTTATTAAAATAATACTATTTTACAATGCAATTTCTTTTGCATTGCACTAAAGACTGATTGAGATTATTAGTGAGTGAGTGAAGTGACATGTGGCCAAGTATGGTGACCCATACTCGGAATTAGTGCTCTGCATTTACCCATCCAAAATGCACACACACAGCAGTGAACACACACCCGGAGCAGTGGGCAGCCATTTATGCTGCGGCGCCCGGGGAGCAGTTGGGGGTTCGGTGCTTTGCTCAAGAGCACCTCAGTCGTGGTATTGAAGGTGGGAGAGTACCACGACTGAGCGCTGTCACTCCCCCCACGTACAATCCCTGCCAGTACGAGACTCGAACCCGGAACCTTTGGGTTATGAGTCCGACTCTCTAACCATTAGGCCACAACTTCCCATTCATTGAGTGTTCATTGAATCACTGTAGAATACATCTATACATAAACTGTACACTAGAGGACGACATTAACTCGCATAAAACAATCCCGCAACCACTGAGAATGACTGAGAAATACTGAGGCATTCATAAATCTACAATAAACTCATTACTCCTCGATTCTCTTCTGCACTGGCTGACTTGTAAAATGACTGTATTTGTTAAAACTGCACACTGCGATCACTATATGCAACAACATATTAATTGAACATACTCTTCAATTAACATGGATAAGAACGAGATTATAGTCTGTGTTACTATGGTTTTGTTCTTTCTTTTTTTTTTTGCAGAAATATGTTGTCCTTAATATTCGAACAACAAACAAACAAAAGTGATTTTTGTTTTAACATATTTAATGTGTCATAATTTGTGTCATGGATCTACGTGCGCCAGACAATATTTGTTTAAAAACTGTATGCATTTTTACTTTAGTTTTTTAGTGCAACAATATGTGTTATTATTGTGTACAAACTATATGTATTAATATTATGCTGTTTTTTAAATGTTCTGAATTTAACTTTTCAGCTTCTGATTAATGTACAAAGGTCAGGCTAGATTTTGTTAGATTTGTTAGACAAATTTGACATTAACTTTTCAAATGGGAGCATTCATCTAAAATTAATTTAATAATTATTGAAAAAAAAAACACCTTCAGTACTCTATTGAAACATTTTCTGTTTCATACTGAAAATACTGGGATCTGTGTTCTGATGGGAGTCATCCAGGTGCTTGGCCACAAAGTCTTTTTGTGTGTGTGTGTGTGTGTGTGTGTGTGTGTGTGTGTGCGCGCGCAGTGTTTTCCGTTATGTTATTATCCCATAAAGTCTATTTTTACCCCGTGTTTCTTAATAAACTGAAAAATATTGCCAGGCCAACTACATCTGGATGATTCACTTTTGTTACATATTTTTCTGCTCTCTTAAGGATGTTTATAGTTACAAAAATAAGAATTTTCTGATTACACATTATCAGAATATATAATCAGTACATAAACATGCTAAAAACTTTCATTATAAATTATCTGCAAAACCTTTTAAATAAAAATAAAAAATAACCTGATGATCATGTATCTTGTATTGCAGTATATTTTTTTTTTTGTAAAATCTAAGTTGTACAATATCATACAATCTAGCAATTTTGTATAAAGTATCGCAGTTTGTCATGAGACTGTGTAGAATAGGATTCCAATTCAAGAAAGAATTAATCAGACTATTTGTGTGAACTGGATAAATCAAATCATTGAAAAGATCCAATAAAAAATAAGTATTGTTCGAATTTTGAATTTGAATAGTCATCGCAGTGAAAAAAATAAGGACTACTAAATAATTTGATTTTTTTTCATACAGCTTAGAAACGACGTTAATTTTCCCTTTATGTGGCGCAATTAAGATTGTTGCAATTCAAATATCACAATATTCATTGCAATTAAAAAAACAAAAACAACTAATACATCATTGATAATATGGGATTAAATGCTATTAGTCTTTGCATTAGTGCCACAAATGTGAAAGAAAAAAAAAATCAGCCGTAATTTAAATGATCGCAAAAGTCATCACAATATATAAAAAAACTACTAAATACATCATCAAAAATGTTCCTTTTGTGTTTCACAAAAGAAGATAATATGAGGTTGGAACGACGTTACTGTCTGCATTAGTGCCATAGATGTAAAAAAATAAAAATTCTGTCACAATTCAAATATCACAATAGTCATTGAGGGAAAAACTGACTTCTACATCATTCCGATTTTTTTTCCCCCTTTTGTTGATTCGCAGAAGAAAATAACACTGGTTTGGAACAACATTACTCTTTGCTTTAGTGCTGCTGATGTCAATTAAAAAAAGATTCTGTCACATTCAAATATCGCAATAGACATCACAAAGAAAAATGACCAACAGATTGTTCAATTTTTATATTTAGTGTTGCACAAAATAAAATAATGCAGGTTTGGAGCTACAATAGCCTCTGCTTTAGTGCCGCACATGTAAAAAAAAAAAAACACTATTCTGTCCCTATTCAAATATTGCAATAGTCATTGTAATGGGAAAAATTACTTCTACATCATTCACATTTTTTCTTTTTGTGTTTCACAGAGGAGAGAAAATCACACGGGTTTGGAACAACATTACTCTGCATTATTGCTGCAGATGTCTAATGAGACGTTACAATCTTTCAAAAAGGAGCATAACCTTGTTCTCTTGATTATGGAAAATGTACTTTAGAATAAGCAATTTGTTCTTCTCTTCTTTTGTCTCATTAATTGGTTTAGTTTGATAGGAGAAAAAAAAAACAGGTGTCCAGTGACGAAATCTCCCAAACACTTTCCCAGCAGCAGATATTCTGAACAAAAGTGTTGGGACGGCGAAATCACGCTCATTAGTCCACTCCATAAAAACCCCATACAAAACAAGTTTGTCTGAAGAATGAACTTCTCCTGTCTCTGGTGCAGTCGCTTTAGTTTAGTGTTTGTTCACCCTTGTACCGCCCTGATGGCCACTGAGGTCCGCAGGCGTCGGGATTATCGCCCCCATCTGTGTCACCCGCACAGGGCCACACTGAGCCGCCGAGTCCCCTGCTTAGCAGGAACCTGGATTGTTAACCCTGATTAACATGATGTGGCATTGAGTGGAGAAACAGTGTGAAAATCAAAAGCATGGCATGACCCGCCCCCCTGCCGCTGAACCGTGAGAGAGAGAGAGAAGAGACCAGTGAACAAGACATGTAAAAACCACAGACTAACTTGATAGTGAGTGGCTGAAAAGCTCAGTGTTCTCAGTAAATGACATGATACTTAATAAACATGTGCATATGGTTTTTATTAAATTACTTATGAATAAAAATATAAGTACATAAATCTAGATTTCTTTATTTTCTGAAGAAAATATTTTTCTGCCAGAGTGTTAATATGTGGTTGCCAAGTCGTTCTGAGTGGCTTGGAATGGTTAAAAATGTCAGTGATAATGATTATTATTGTATTTATTTAGATTTAATTGGGTTAATAATTAACTTGCACTATAAAACAATGATTATTATTACATTTTATTACAATTTATAACTATTATTGTTAGTACTATTATTCTCAACTCAGCTTTATTTATATAGCACAGTTGTTGACCAAGGTGCTTTACAGAATATCATCAACATTTAACACTATTCTGTCCCTATTCAAATATTGCAATAGTCATTGTAATGGGAAAAATTACTTCTACATCATTCACATTTTTTCTTTTTGTGTTTCACAGAGGAGAGAAAATCACACGGGTTTGGAACAACATTACTCTGCATTATTGCTGCAGATGTCTAATGAGACGTTACAATCTTTCAAAAAGGAGCATAACCTTGTTCTCTTGATTATGGAAAATGTACTTTAGAATAAGCAATTTGTTCTTCTCTTCTTTTGTCTCATTAATTGGTTTAGTTTGATAGGAGAAAAAAAAAACAGGTGTCCAGTGACGAAATCTCCCAAACACTTTCCCAGCAGCAGATATTCTGAACAAAAGTGTTGGGACGGCGAAATCACGCTCATTAGTCCACTCCATAAAAACCCCATACAAAACAAGTTTGTCTGAAGAATGAACTTCTCCTGTCTCTGGTGCAGTCGCTTTAGTTTAGTGTTTGTTCACCCTTGTACCGCCCTGATGGCCACTGAGGTCCGCAGGCGTCGGGATTATCGCCCCCATCTGTGTCACCCGCACAGGGCCACACTGAGCCGCCGAGTCCCCTGCTTAGCAGGAACCTGGATTGTTAACCCTGATTAACATGATGTGGCATTGAGTGGAGAAACAGTGTGAAAATCAAAAGCATGGCATGACCCACTGCCCTGCCGCTGAACCGTGAGAGAGAGAGAGAAGAGACCAGCGAACAAGACATGTAAAAACCACAGACTAACTTGATAGTGAGTGGCTGAAAAGCTCAGTGTTCTCAGTAAATGACATGATACTTAATAAACATGTGCATATGGTTTTTATTAAATTACTTATGAATAAAAATATAAGTACATAAATCTAGATTTCTTTATTTTCTGAAGAAAATATTTTTCTGCCAGAGTGTTAATATGTGGTTGCCAAGTCGTTCTGAGTGGCTTGG